TATTTATATATTTGAGGAAGATTAGCGCTGAGGTAACATCTGCCACCAATCCGCCACTTTTTGCTGAGGAAGACTGGCCCTGACCTAACATCCAGGTGCATATTCCTCTGCTTTATATGCGCGACACCTACCACAGCATGGCTTGCCAAGCAGTGCCATGTCTGCACCCAGCATCCAAACCAGCGAACCCCAGCCCGCTGAAGCAGAACTTGTAAACTTAGCTGCCATGCCACTGGGCTGCTCCTCCTCTGCCTTTTTAACCTGATTGTTTGTTGTTTTTTTAATTTATTTTTTTGCTATGGATTTGTATAAGTTCTTTATATATTTTGGATATTAACCCCTTATCAAATATGATTTGCAAATATATTCTCTCATTCAGTACATTGCCTTTTATTTTGTTGATGGTTTCCTTTCTTATGGAGAAGATTTTTAGTTTGTTGTAGACCCACTTGTTTACTTTTGCTTTTGTTGCCTTTCTTTTGGTGTAAAATCCAAAAAGTGTTCACCAAGACTTATGTCAAGTAGCATTCCCTCTATGTTTCCTTCTAAGAGTTTTATGGTTTCAAGAATTGCATCCAAGTCTTTAATCCATTTTCAGTTAATTTTTTGTATGGAGCGAGACACTGGTCTATTTTCCTTATTTTGCATGTGGCTGTCCAGTTTTCCCAACACCACTTATTGAAGAGACTGCCATTTCCCTTTGCATATTCTCGGCTTCTTTGTTGTAAATTAATTGACCCTATATGCGTGGGCTTATTTCTGAGCTTCCTGTCCTGTTCCATTGATCTAGGTTTCTATTTTGTGCCAATACTATACTGTTTTGATTACTATAGCTTTGTAATATTGTTTGCAATCAGGGAACATGATGCCTACAGCTTTGTTCTTTCTAAAGATTGCCTTGGCTGTTCAGTGTGTTTTGTGGTTCTATATACATTTTAGGATTGCTTGTTCTACGTTTGTGAAGATCGCTATTGGGATTTGGTAGGGATTTCATTGAATCTGTAAATTGCTTTGGTAGTATGGACATTTTAACTATATTAATTCTTCCAATTCCTGAGCATGAAATATCTTACCATTTATTTGTATCTTCTTCAATTTCTTTAATCAATGTGTTATAGTTTTCAGTGTAGAGATCTTCACCCTCCTGGTTAAATTTATTACTAGGTATTTCATTATTTTTGATGCAATTGTAAATGCAATTGTTTTCTTAATTTCTCTTTCAGATAGTGCATTATTAGTATGTAAGAATGCAACGGATTTTTATATGTTGATTTTGTATCCTGCAACTTTACTGAATTTTATTATTAGTTCTAACAGGATTTTGGTGGAGTTCTTAGGGTTTTCTATGTATAATATCATGTTATATGCAAAAAAGGACAGTTTAACTTTTCCATTTCCAATATGGATGCCTTTTATTTCTATTTCTTGTATAATTACTCTGGCTAAGACTTCCAATACTATGTTGAATAAAAGTAGTGAGAGCAGGCATCCTTGTCTTGTTCTTGATCTAATAGGAAAAGCTTTATGCTTTTCAGTGTTGGGTATGATGATAGCTGTAGGCTTGTCACCTATAACCTTTATTATATTGAAATATGGCCCCCCATATCCACCTTCTTGGGATTTTTTTTCTCACAAATGGATATTGAATGAATGTTGTCTAATGCTTTTTATGCTTCTATTCAGATGATCATATTATTTTTATTCTTCATTTTGCTAACGAGATATATCACATTGATTGATTTGTGGATGTTGAAGCATCCTTGCATCCCTGGAATAAATCCTACTTGATCATAGTGTATGACCCTTTTACTGTATTGTTTAATTTCGTTTGCTACTACTTTGTTGAGCTTTTTACATCCAAATTGATCAGGGACATTGGCTTGTAATTTTCTTTTCTTGCGGTGTCCCTGACTGGTTTTGGTATTGAGGAAATGTGGCCTTATAAAATGAGTTTGGAAGTGTCCCCCACATTCTACTTTTTGAAAGCATTTGAGTAGGATTGGTATTAATTCTTCTTTAAGCTTTTGGTACAATACACCAGTAAAGCCATCTGGTCCTACGTTTTTGTTTGTTGAGAGGTTTTAGATGACTAATTTAATCTCTTTACTAGAAATCCATCTGGTCAAATTTTCTGTTTCTCCCTGATTCAGTCTGGTAGGTTGTATGTTTCTAGGAATTTATCCACTTCTCTTAGGTTGCCCAAATTGTTTGCATATAATTGTTCATAGCCGTCTTTTATGATCCTTTGTATTTCTTTGGGATCAGTTGTAAAACCTCTTGATTCACTTCTAATTGTATTTATTTGAGTCCTCTCTCTTTTTTTCTTGGTAAGTCTAGCTAAAAGTTTGTCTTTCTGTTTATCTTTTGAAAAGAAAAAGCTCTCAGTTTCATTGAATCTTTCTATTCTCTTTTTAGTCTCTATTTATGCTCTATCTTTCTTATTTCTTTCCTACTAACTTTCGGCTTCACTTCCTCTTTTTCTAGCTCCTTGAAGTGTAAGATTAAGTTCTTTACTTGAGATCTTTCGTGTTTCTTTTTGTAGGCTTTTATCACTATTAACATTCCTCTTATAACTGCATTTGCCACATCCCATAAGTTTTGAAAATTTTTTAATTACAGAGGAAATTGTGTACATAATTCACTGCCTCGAACTATATGCTACAGCTTACATTCATTCTCTCCTTCCTCTTTAGGGAAAGAACAGAATGGAACTTTGATTTTTAACAAAACACAATGTCACACAGAATAAAAGTTATACTTTCCAGGTTCCCTTGTAATTAAGGGTGATCATGTGACTAATTTTTATTAAATAAGATGAAGACAAAAGTGCCATGTGGTGCTTTTGAAGCATCTCCTAAAAGGGAGAGAGATTAGTTCATCTTTTCCCCTTCACCTTGACTGCCTCCTAGAAGACAGATAAAATGCTAGAGCTGTGTTGTCAAATATGGTATCCACTAGTTACTTGAAATTTTAAATTAAACTTATTAAAATTAAATAAAATTTAAAATTCCATTCTTTGTTCTCACTAGCCCCATTTCAACTGCTCATTAGCCACAACCCTATTGAAGAGCATAGACGTAGAACATCTCCAGCATGGCATAAAGTTCTACTGGACAGACTTGATATATATCACTAGCAGCACTTTGAGATCATGAAGTTGAATCTAGAGGCTGAAGATGGCAAAGTCTGGATTTCTAATAACATTGTCAGACTTCCAAACAGTGCTGGATTTTTTTAAAATTTTTATTGAGTTTATGATAGTTTACAATCTTGTGAAATTTCAGTTGTACATTATTGTTGGTCAGTCATATTGTAAGTGCACCAATTCACCCTTTGTCCCCACCCCCCAACCCCCCTTTCCCCTGGTAGCCACTAATCTGTTCTCTTTGTCTACAAGTTTAACTTCCACATATGGATGGAGTCATACAGAGATTGTCTTTCTCTATCTGGCTTGGATTTTTACCTCTGTAATTCCGAAGTTCTACTCAATAAGCTTCCTTTTTTCTGTTATAGGCAGTCATATGTATACCTAAAAGGATACAAATAATAAATGGGAAAAGAATACAAAATTGTATATGGAGACTAGTTTGCATCACTCTATAAATTTTTCTTTAATGAAATCACATTATATTTATATTCTAAAAACTGCACTTTTTAATGTTGTGACAGAATCAACAATAAGACCTAACTATGTGGTCTCCATACACAGACATAATTAGTGGAGACACCAAGGGAATTGAGGATGATTTCTTCGTGCCTTCAAAACCATTATTGACCTACATGCTCAACCAGCACATAAAGGAAGGGAAAAGTCTCTAAGGCCTATAGTACACATGTCATGCTCCATCCCTCTGCAAGGACATTGCCTCCATTATTTCTCCTGGTCCTCAAGGACAGAAGGCAAATGCAAAGCTAGTCTGTGTAATTCCAAAGCCAACAGGGGCAAATTATATTATGTTCTCTAAATTGCCCACAATCATATGGGTTGATTGGGTGAAGTGGAGTATCTGAGAGGTGAAAAAACAATGCCCACAGACTGTCTCCTCCACATTCACCAAGAAACATTAATAGGCATGAAAAGAAATGGAATTGGCATGATCATGTAACATAAATGACAGAAGTCAGGAACAGAAACATGAGTAGACAGTATTTTCCTGTCCTTCATTCTTCAAGTTAGGCCTAAAAAGCATTTTCTACATTCTGTATTTATCTACATCAGGATAAATCTAAAAATGATTTCCTTTTTGTTAAAATGTTTGACTTGATCTTTTTCCCTATTGATAGCTAGAATCTAAACCTTTTTGTTTTGTTTTGTTTTTTTAATTTATGGATGCTGGGCATTGTGACAAGTCCCATGGAGATATAAAGACTATTGTTTGTGCTCGCATATGACAAGAACCGAAATTACTTCAGGGAATTTTCTGGTACTCATGATCAGATGGTCCATGGTAAAAGATATCAAGAATCAACCAGAAGAATAGAAAAATTCACGGATGCAATTTTCAAAGTGTCCACGTTGAAAGAGATCATATTGGTACCCTCCTCCCCAAATATCCCCTAATAATTCCTCTGTTCAGTTTCCTCTTCTGATGTTACCATGTGGGTGGCTGAACCGAGAGAGGAGCAGGAAGGAGAAAGGAAGGAAGCAGGGAAAGAAGGAAGGGAATCAAGAGAGAAATGATTTTAGCAGACAAAATATTTGTCAGAATGTTCTCATTTGGATTTGCACTTATTTTGAGTCTTAATATTACCCAATCCCAACTCATTGTTGGACATCATGGAGACAATCAAGTTCTCTAAGATTCAGCAAGACTATCTGATCTCTGTCCTTGGAACATACACCAGGATACCAGAGTGTCTTTGTTGACTAAGGATAACCACAGTGGCAGTAGCATTAAGTCCTATTTGTTTCTGCCATTTGTGAATGCCCCACTAAAACCAAAATCCATTTAAAGAACAGAGAATAATTAGTCATACAATTCTGTAACACTCTCTCATTTTCACTCCATTTCTGAATTCTCCTTTTTGCCCCATAACCTCCTCATGGCAATTTTCATCTCTGCATTTCTGAGTGTGTAGATGATGGGGTTTAACATGGGGGTGATGACTGTATAGAACACAGCCACTAGTTTGTCCTCAGTGAAAGTGGAGGAGGGTCGCATGTAGAGGAAGATGGCAGGTCCAAAAAACAAGATGACAACTGTGATGTGAGAGGCACAGGTAGAGAGAGCTTTGCGCCTCCCCTCTGCTGAATGGTTCCTCAAATTGTACATGATGATGATATAGGAAGACACCAAGAGGAGGAAGGAGAAGACGGAGATTAATCCACTGTTGACCAACACAATAACTCCCTCCACAAATGTGTCACTGCAAGCAAGCTTGAATAAGGGATGGAGGTCACAGAAATAGTGGTCAATCACATTGGGACCACAGAAGGGCAACTGAATGGTGATGAGAATCTGAATTATGGAGTGAAAAAAGCCCCCCAGCCAGGAACCAGCCACCATTACATAACAAAGTAGGTTGCTCATAATGTTCATATAATGAAGAGGCTTGCAGATGGCCACATAGCGGTCATAAGCCATCACCACAAGCAAGAATATCTCAGTGACCCCAAAGAAGTGAGAGAAGAATATCTGAGCCACACAGCCCTCCAGGGAGATGGTTTTAATCTTGGTAAGTAAGTCCGTGATGAATTTAGGGACAATAGTAGAGGAGTAACTGATCTCCACCAGAGACAGGTAGCTAAGGAAGAAATACATCGGGGAATTCAGACTCTTACTGATGTTGACTGTCACAACGATGAGACCATTGCCCACCAATGTGGCCAAGTACACAGCAAGAAACACCGCAAAGCACACTCTCAGCACCTCTGGATCCTGGAAAAGACCGACGATAATTAACTCAGTCACATTATTTTTACTCGCCATGGGCCATGGAATTTGTTCAAATGTGCTGCATGTGAGCTGAGAGACCTGCCATTAAACAAAAACTGATTATCACCAATTTGCCTCATTTGTAGCATGTTATACAGTCTAAACCACTTTATAATAAAAACTTGTCACAAACTCATTTATTTAGCAAATATGCACTCACTCAGCATTAAATATTAGCATTCTAATAGTTTATATATTAGAAAATGAAGGCTCAGAGAAGTGGTTATTTACCCAGGATTACCCAGAAAGTGGTGGACGCTCAGAATCAGAACCAGGCTTTTTCACTGCTCTCTAGAGTTCTGTCTAACTTACCACCAGGTATTCTGAATTTGGGGTCATTCAAGTTCATAGCCCATATTTTTCTTATCTTCATTGTATTTTCAATGCTCTTTCCTGTCAGGGAATCCTGATGACACACTTCTCCTCCTGAATTTCTTCTTCCCTCCTTCTCTACCTCGGACAATCATCTTCCCACTGCTAATCCTTCCAATTCCAAAAGGTCCTCTGTACTGTTTATTCACTCAGTTATATTAATCTTGAATTTACTCAGATGAGATTTCTTCACCTGGCTTGTAGCTTCAATAAGTACATATATATGGCAAATGCTCAAACACCCTGGAGAGAATTTAACTTACTAGGTTTTTCCAGCATTTCACTATTACTTTCACATCTCTTGGCCCACTGCTTAAACTACTGAGAGATACTGAACTCATAGAGTTTGTCCTCTAGACGACTGGTATGGCTGGTTAGCCTACTTGTTCAGGTTCCAGGCTGATAGTCAGCAGCAAAGTATATGATAACAAGAGTGAAGATTTCTCTCTAGGTTACTCCCCTGGAACAGGTAAAGCTGTGCCCCTCTTATACATCTGTATACTCCCCCAACTACACATAAGAAATATAGACCATGATACACACTCAAGCTAAAAATGTCATGTGATTCAAAACAATATTCTCTAGTTTAAGGTGCCATTTAGGATTTTTTTCTACCACATAAAATCCATGAGAAATAAGAAAGAAATAGTATGAAGATTTTTATTCTCTGCTATAAATTTTATCCTCATTGCTTTTCTCTTTATCTCTGACTTCATACTGAATTATTAAAGAAATATACTTTTTAAAATGTAAAAATCCACATGAACAGCAAGGACCAGAATCAAAGGAAAAAACAAAAGTCAGTGATGTTGACAGTTGGAAACAAAACAGTGTCTGTCAGAATTCCTCAGATAAGACACTTGCTGAACATTGAATTTTCCTAACGCAGCTGATTATAGGTGTTCTCACTAAAGACAAAGGTAATTATAAGAGGAGATGAATATGTTAATTAGCTTAAGTGTAGTAATCTTTTCATCATAAATGTATATCAAAACATCAAGTAGTATGTATTAAACATAGGCAATTTTTATTTAAAAAATTAAGATTAAATAAAGTAACTGAACCTAAAAAAATTGAGAAAATGGTATTCTGGAGCAAGAAAAATATTAGAGAAAGAGACTATCGTATCTCAGAGATACAGAGAGTATCCTTGATCCTTGATGCTTCCATCCCCGTTGCTGTCCATTGTGTACTTGGGTATAAGAGAAAGTCCTTTATTCCTCAAATCAGTTCTTCTCTTTGCTTAAGCTAGTTTGATGCATTTCTGTTTCTTGCAAGCAAAATCCCCTAATATAAAGCCAGGTAAAAAATAAATAAATAAAACTTAAAACCACTAGCAATAATAAGAAAGTTCAAAATAAAATTTCTAGTGAGAAAACCCAACTGAAAAATACTCCTTTTACTATAGGCAATTTTTTTTAAACACTTAAGGAGCCAGTCCTGTGGTGAAGTGGTTAAGTTCATGTGCTCCACTTCAGCGACCTGGGGTTCACTTGTTTGCATCCTGGGTGCAGATCTACATACTGCTCATCAAGCCTAACTGTGGCAGCATCCCACACAGATGAACTAGAAGGACTTACAACTAGGATACACAATTATGTACTAAGGCTTTGGGGACAAAAATAAAAAGCACTTAAAATATGATATAGTTATGCAGAGAAAAATCACAAAAATGTTAAGGGAAAGAGAATACACATGTATAGAAGGGAGAACATATTCACCAATAAAAATTCTTGCAAAATCATCTTTAAATGATAAAATTCAACACAATGAAGATTTCAACTCTCCCTAAATTTGTCTACAAATTTATGCTAGCTCAATCAAAATCCAATGGAATTTTTCTTTCAAATTTATATTATTACTTTAAAGTTCATTTGCCAAAAAAAAAGGAGGCAGGATCAGCCCTCCAGGGAAGCAAAAGTAAACAGCCCAACCAAGAGCTAAAGTTTCAGGAAGGTGAGTGCCTCAGAGAAATTACATTGATACACATGACCTAACGCAAGCAATATTGCTAAAGTCATCATAGTGTGGTGCCCTTCCCTGTAGGAGCAGTGTTGTGGGCACCAGGCACCCAGAACCTTTATGAATATCTGACAACATCTCAGCACCTCAGAAAATCAAGTAGCTGAAAGGTTAGCAGATAAGATTGTGAGGCTTCTCAAAAATCTCTTTTTATCACATCACAAGCCCAAAAGAGGATTTAAACAGAGATTAGGGCTGAAGCTGATGGGAAAAAGCTATAGATTAACAGGAGACCAACAGACAAGTGTGAACTGAAAGATACTTTGGTACCACCTTTACCCTCCAAGGTGTCCAAGTTGTAGCTGGGATGTCATACGTGACCTATGACCCCACTTGTTCCCATACCCAGTCGTCACCATGTCCCAATAATTTTACCTGTAAACCATCTCTCCTGTGGGCACTTTCTCTCCATTCTTGTTGCCAACACCTTCTCACACACTGTCAGATGATACCTAAATTACCATAGCACCTTAGTTTACAGATGCTCCCACAGCATCCATCCTGCACGGTGCAGCCAGAAAATTGTTTCCTGACTCTTCTTTCCTCAGATCCTCCACTGCTTGGAAATAACTGGGGAAAAACCTGAACTCCTCTGACCACTGTTAAAGACCTTCACAGACTGAGCTGCCTCAAAAATCACCCTCTTACCCACTAAACTTCTCCACAATTTCGTTCAACTCAGGAACTTGTTCACATCCCACAAGCCCACCCTGATCATTCCCACCACTCAGCCTCCCTTCTCACAAAGGTCCTCTCCTGTCCTTTCAACTCTACCCACCTTCCAAGCCTAACACAAGCCTTGTGTGTTCAATGAAGCTTGCCCTTAATAATCCAACCCATATCTATATTCTCTTCTCTGAGCATATAAATTCTTTGGTAATTTTCCTTAAATGCATATTAAATCATGTTACCAACCTACCTAAAATCTGTCAACACAACCCCATTGCCCACAGCCTAAATCCCAATAGTGTTAGCATGGATCCCAGGTCCTTCTTGAACTGGCCATTGCCTGTCTTTCCATCCTTATTGTCATTCCCTAAATGAATGTTATACAGCTATTTCCTAACCGCGGTATCCTTTATCCCTTCTCTATGGTTAATATTCGTTCCTTCTATATTTCATGAAGATCCTCACTATTATAGGAATAAGTATTCTCTCCTTTGTTCTCCTACACTAATTTATGATACTTCTTTTTACCAGTTTACAGAATCTTTATAATGGTAACTCTGTGCCTGTACTCTGTGCCTTTCTACTAAGAAAAACGCTAGCATGGTATTGAAAATTATCTGTTTAATTTTTTAATCTTTATTATTAATTGCATTTCAGTTGATAATAACACCTAATCTTTCAATAGTACCATATCCCTCACACTTTATAAGTGCTCCATAGACATTAATTCATTCAATTCTTAGGAGCAACCTGTGATGTGGCTATTATTATCATATTTTTTTTAAATATGAGAAAACAAGAGCACAGATAAGTGAATTAACTGACCTCAGGTTACACAACAGTGCAGCCAGGATTTCAATCTGCACAGCCTATTGACAGATACTATGCCCTTAATACTGCCCTATAGAATTTCTAGGTACATAATACATAAGTGAATTTTAATTAAATATGCTCTTTTGTTAGAAGTCCAAGGTATATTTATTATGACATAGACAAATATTTCTTATATTAGTATGAACTCAATATTTCCTGATCCATTAGAGAAACTGAGGAATATATTCTAGGACCAATCTGAGAGCTCACTCAGAAATAAGAGAGGAAACAGGTAGGCTCCAGTCTTTCCAGTTTTCATCCCTTAGAAGGGATATTTGATAGGCTTCCTCTTTGAAAACAAACTTTATTATCTTTTCTGTCATCTCTGCCTGTCTGTATTTATTCCTCTATCTTCTATCCTACCCCTCTACCCATTCTACCATCTCTCTCAGATAAGTGGTAAGAAATACATCTTCTCTCCCCAAAATGCTACCTCTTCTAAAAGAAGGAAAAGAAAATGTGACCAGCACGTAAAAGTCTAGATCAGCATTTGAGCAAGTGAACTCTCCATCAGGTAACCTGCTGGACTCTGGACCAGAGCATAATGATAGACCACAGGCAATGACCAGAGAACATGTAAGAGAGAGGTTGACGTGCTGATGTGACTGATCCAGAGTGAAGTAATGGCACTTTGTAATTTCTAAATGGTTACCTCACAGAACCCGAGAATTATAAAGTACTTTAAATCCATCAAATTTTATGTTTCGTATAATTTTACCACAATAAAGATAAATAAATAAATTGAATTCAATAAAGATAAATAAATAAATTGAATTCATTGCCCCTCCAAAAATCTTCAAACCCAGCCAGATCATTTTACAGATAAAAGTTTGTTGCTCTAAGACAGGAACTGATTTACCCAATGTCCTTTCACTGCTTAGAGGTTGTGCCCCTTACTTCCAGCCATATCACCTACCTTTATGTCAGAAAATATGGTGTGGTTTTGTTCTACTTTAGAACAAATAATTAGATCCGATGCATCCCAAATGCGCTCAAGTGCCTCCAATTCTGCATGAAGTTAGTCACTCCGCTAGAATAGATCACTACTCAAGGAGCTG